AATGGATAAAAAATATATGCTGAACTTTTGTTTGAGATAAAATGAAAACATTTCTAATCTTGTATAACCTGTCACTTCTGTCAGGCCTGGTTTTGTCAGAGAAGTGCAACATAAAGTAAGAGTAGGATAAACCTGTTCACTGGTATGATTTCACTGAAGACCGGGTAGAAATTAGCCGATCTGTTGGACCAGTAAAGCTTTTATATTATGCTTATAGACTGAGGCATAACATTTTTTGTTCCAAAAAGCAAATTTCATTTCTGCAACAGTCGTCTCTTTCCACCTGTGTAGTTTTGACTGTGGTGATAAGATCGTATTTGCCATGATGTACTCAAAATACTTATTACTTTCCCTGACAATAATTTCCATCAATGGCTGGTCAAAGAATAATTCAAAGAATTCCAGTTCATTGGCCGTGGTTCCAAGGGGACAAGTAGGTAGAATTCCACTTTGAGAATCATCAAAGTGGTGAGGCTTGGGAACAAAATTGGGATTTTGCTGCCAATCCCACATACGGTTTGCTGGTGGATACTGGACATCATAGGCTGGTTGTGCAGGTGGTTGTGGTTGTGGTGGGCTGGTGGCTGGCGCTCCGCTTTGTCCTTGAACTGACGAGTCAGCACGTGGGTCCCCCGCGTGGCCTGGTGATCACGCATGGCGGTGCCACTACCATCACCACTAACACCATCCACTGATGCCTGTGGTCTATCTATGCCAAGTGTAACCACATCATCCGCACTATCACTACCTAAAACTGGTGTTGGGCCACGGGATGTACTCCGGGATGTACTCCGTCCCCTGGGCACAGCATAGGGTACACTACCCGAGCGCATGCGGCGGCGAACATACCGACGCTTCACTGGTGAATATGATTCCTCACTATCACTACTCGATTGATCTCGAGCGCAATAAAATCACAGTCCACGTCACTATCATCATCATTACGAAGTCAAGGCCCGGCCACGCGAAAAATTAGTTTTCTCTTGCGATGAGGAACAACCGACCCTGAGTCACGAGTGCCCACACCAGAGGTAGAAGGTTGAGGATCGTCAGGGTTTTCTGCACTATTATCGATATCCTGGTCATTCTTTTCGGTCACTAACTGATCAAAGCCGTAGAATTCGTCTTCATTTTCCCCTTCCATCAGTGTCAGAACTGTCAGATAGGAAGAGGAGAGTCCCAATTTTCCGGGGAGTGAGAGCTGACTTGTGACGAGGCATGGTGAACAAGGGTAACTGAGCCGGCGTTCCCACAATGCTATGCGGGCGCCTAGATTTTTTGTTTATGGCGCACACCCACCACGCAGACCCGTTCTCTCACATGTAGGCCTATGAGTGTTTTCGCGCTAAATTTGACGGCGCTAGAATTTTGGCGTAGATCTACGGTTTGGACACTCAACGTAAAGCCGTTGATCTACGGGACGGACCCTGAAAGGGTTAATCTTAAGTCTGCCCAAAAGACATTGCATAACTATGTATGTACTTGTCCATGAGCTGTATCATATTATGTAAAATATATGAGATAAAACTATGTAATTAATTTATGGAAAATAAACTTTACACATGAGTGCCAATATCATGTGTCCTTATGACCAGTGTAAAAAAAAAAAATTTCTTGTGTTATGCATGGACTGCTTATAAACAAACTCATTCCCAATGATTGTAGGTCACTATTTTCTTTTTCTGGTGTAATATCTTAAATTTTGCTTTGTTTATAGCAAGCAATCAACCAGGAAATGGCAGAAATCGTACACCAAATCCAGTCATTCCTGGAGTGGAACCACAGTCGATGGCCTCCACTCCAAACCAACAGATACAGATACTAATGCCGGAAAAAAAATCCCCCCCCAGTACCAACAATACCACCAGTCCGATAACATTCTTCTTTGCAAATATACAGGGTCTAAAGCCAGCAACAAACAACAAAATACCTTTCATCCGTGGACTGCTTGCAGAGGCAAAGGCAATGTTCGCGGCTTTCACTGAGACCCACATAAAGGATCACTTGGACAACGAAATATGGATCCCAGGTTACAACCTATACAGATGTGACAGAGTGAACAGGCAAAAGGGGGGGGGGTTGGCCTGTACATTGCAGAGTCACTTGTTTGCACAGAACTGCTAAATGCCTCAAATGAGTAGGGGAAGTTTAGCAGTAAAGGTCGAGAACCAAAACCTAGCTTTGGGATAGTCTACAAGCCCCCGGGATGCAACTCCAGCAATTCCGGGAACAGTTTTTAAAAATTGACCACTGTTGAAAACCCCCGCTCCTGACCCAAATCTTCTCCTGGGGGATTTCAATTAAGGACCAAAAAAGGGGGAATTAGCAAATAATATTGTTGCGTAATAACACCAGGGGGCGCTCTGATAAAATCACACTCACCAGCTTTTAAATCTTGCAAAAAATTCAATTTAAACCAGAAAATAAAGACCCTACTAAACTGGAGAATACACTAGACCTATTCTTCATTTTAACAAGATGATCTATAAAAAATATCACCATATCAAAAAAAAATTTAAAATCAATCACAACAAAATTTGGGGTTCTTCTGTAGGCGGGCCCCAACCGACATAAGGATTAGCCAGGGGGGAGCATTCACCAAATTAAACTTCAATAACAAAAACAAAAAGGGGGCCCAAAGTAAACCAAGTCCTAACCATATAACGGGGAATTTTCTAAGCAACCAGACCCCAACTTAGCCAGAACAGTTTAAACCGGGTAGCATCGATGTATCCCCAAAAGGCTTTTTCCCTTTAAAAAAAAGGAGATAGATGTAAAACAGAAAGAGACAGGCGCTCCCTTTTACGGGCACGGAAAAGAAAAAGAGCGGGTAAAAGAGGTCAAAATATCGAAATGCGTAGGGAGACACGGTCAGAGAAATAGCAAAAATCGAACTTAACTAAAAAAATCCTTTAGGATCAGGGAACGCGGGGAAAAACAAAAAAAACCATAAAAGAAAAAAAGAAACCCCAAAATATTTTTTTTTCCTAGCCAAATCAAAAAACGAGAACAACGTCCAGTAAATTTGGGCCCCCCACTTTAAAAAAAATGGGTCCACCAGTGACAACAAGGAAATGAGTGAGCACTCAAATCCCAAATGACTCAGTTTTTAGCAAGCCCCTAACCCCGACGAGAGTCGAAGACAAAAAAAATTTTTTATGAGAGAGCCCAAAATTTGATTAACACAGCCTATCCCATTTATCCTGATGCCAAATGACTTCGAACAGGGGATAAAGACTGCCCATGCACCTGCCCAGGCCAGACTCGGGAAATCTGTGTTCCAAGAACGCAAGAAGCCCCATCACGAGCCTTTTCCATCCCATGGAGGGGAGCATGGGCACGGGGGTGTCCCACAGTTTCTAAAAACAAAAGACATAGCCCCACTCCACAAAGGGGGCAGTAAAAACAACAGCAAAAGAACTAAGACCAATAGCACTAAAAACCCATATAAAAAAATCTTTGAAAGGGGCCTAAAAGCAAGATCCCCCGCATCTGAAACCCATCAGTTACACAACCCCGGGCAACTGGGTTTTTGAACAGGTCGCTCCTGTCTGTCCAACTATTGGACCACTAGACAAGGTCCCAAATGCACTAGAAGACAAAAAAAGCAGATGTAATATATACAGACTTTGCAAAAGCCTTCGACAAATGTGACCCTGGCATAATAGCGCACAAAATGCGTGCTTAAAGGAATAACAGGAAAAGTCGGTCGATGGATCTATAATTTCCTCACTAACAGAACACAGAGAGTAGTCGTCAACAGAGTAAAGTCCGAGGCAGCTACGGTGAAAAGCTCTGTTCCACAAGGCACAGTACTGCTCCCATCTTGTTCCTCATCCTTATATCCGACATAGACAAGGATGTCAGCCACAGCACCGGTTTTCCCTTTTTGCAGATGACACCCGAATCTGCATGACAGTGCCCTTCCATTGCAGACACTGCAAAGCTCCAGGCAGACATCAACCAAATCTTTCAGGGGGCTCCCAGAAAACAATATGAAGTTCAACGATGAGAAATTTCAATTACTCAGATTTGGTAAACATGAGGAAATTAAATCTTCATCAAAAGTACAAAACAAATTTGGCCACAAAATAGAGCGAAACACCAACGTCAAAGACCTGGGAGTGATTCATGTCGGAGGATCTCACCTTCAAGGACCATAACATTGTATCAATCGCATCTGCTAGAAAAATGACAGGATGGATAATAGAACCTTCAAAATTTGGGAGGCCAAGCCCCTGATGACACTCTTCAGGTCCCCTTGTTCTATCTAGCTGGGGAAAAATTTCTGCACACTAACAGCACCTTTCAAGGCAGGTGAAATTGCCGACCTAGGGAAAAAGTACAGAGAACTTTCACGGCGCGCATAACGGAGATAAAACACCTCAATTATTGGAGCGCTTGAGGGTTCCTAAACCTGTATTCCCTGGAACGCAGGAGGGAGAGATACATGATTATATACACCTGGAAAATCCTAGAGGGACTAGTACCGAACTTGCACACGAAAATCACCCACTACGAAAGCAAAAGACTTGGCAGACGATGCACCATCCCCCCAATGAAAAGCAGGGGTGTCACTAGCACGTTAAGAGACCATACAATAAGTGTCAGGGGCCCGAGACTGTTCAACTGCCTCCCAGCACACATAAGGGGGATTACCAACAGACCCCTGGCAGTCTTCAAGCTGGCACTGGAGAAGCACCTAAAGTCAGTTCCGGATCAGCCGGGCTGTGGCTCGTATGTTGGTTTGCGTGCAGCCAGCAGCAACAGCCTGGTTGATCAGGCTCTGATCCACCAGGAGGCCTGGTCTCAGACCGGGCCGCGGGGGCGTTGACCCCCGGAACTCTCTCCAGGTAAACTCCAGGTAAATTATAATTTGCCTTATCAATACCACTAATAAAATACAGTATATAAAAGTTACTGCAACACAACCTAAATTCGTCTGACTTCATAAATAAAAATTTGACGAAAAAAAGCAGAACACAAGTCAAATTCCTCACCATGACAAGCCATGTTGAGTCTCCACGAAGCTCCAAGAATCTATCGCTAAGTTCCAGCACCTTGGAGGCACCATTTACATTTACCAAAACTGAAAGAGGTAAAAATAATATTTTTATTTAAGCCTCATACATTATTTTAAACTTTTACATTGGTTTTATATAGTAGATTATTCAGAATTTAACCCACAAGCAATGTGATATATTTCTCATTCAGTGATCCCCATTGTTAATTAGAACACACAGGACAAAACTACTAAATGTGAAAAATGAATAAGGCAAACTGTTATCACTTCCTTGAATAATGTCCTTGCTTGAAATTTAAATTTCAAATCAAATGTATTATTCAACAATAAAAAAATTTATATTTTTTAGAATTTCCTTAAATCACAGAAATGGAGCTCAAAGTATGGGAAATGTTTGATTTTTGCCGATGTTTAAAAGTAAACAAATGATGTCATTGTCCAATAAATGTCCATGCAGCCATTCTAATATGCAGTCATGAATGGGTTGACATTATTTGTACAATTATTACAATACTGCAGTAGTCTGCATAACACTAAATCTTCTATTTTTTGTTTGAATAAAAATTCAAAATAGAAAGCAAGAGTAATATCAGAGGGGTCTGGAGATTTGACTGATGAACAAAGAAAATGTTATTTTAGAGCCAGGAACGTCTGCATTGTTCATTCTGGACCCTATTTTGAAATTGTCATATTTTTTAATTTGCGTGAAATTGGCCAAATTGCAAATTTCTGACCACGTTATTGGGTAGTTGAAATCAGTAAATGGGCAGTTTTTTGTACTCATTTGATAGAACAAATGGAGTTCTAATGAAATAGCTATGAGTTTGGTCGACTGGAACAATGGAATTAGCCAAAAATAGGGCTCAAAGTGGGCGAAATCGCCGATTCATAAATATCGCCAAGGTCGCTAACTTTGAGAGAGCGTAATTCCGTAAGTTTTCCATCAAATTTTGTTGTTTTGGTGTCATTACTATCGGGAAAGGATTCTCTATCTTTTCACAAGAAATTTTTTTTTCTTTCAAAAAAATTTCAACACTAGGTGACACCTCAGGATTGGGGGTTTCGACAGTCAAGGGGTTAACCCTTTGATTGTCACATGCCCCTTTCTGAAACTTTCATTCTATGTCGATAAGTTTTTGGAAAAAAACAATTATTTTTATTTACAAAATGATAGAGAATCTTTACCCGATGATAATGACACAAAAAGTACAAAATTTGGTCGAAAACTCACGGAATTACACTCCCGTGAAGTTAGCAGTCTCAGTGACATATACGCATCGGCGATTTCGCCGAATTGAGCCCTGTTTATGGCCAATTCTGTTGTTCCAGTTGACCAAACTCATAGCTATTTCTTTAGAACTCCATTTTTTCTATCTGTTGAGTACAAGAAACTGCCCATTTACCAATTTGAACTACTCAATAAAGTGGTCAGAAATTGGCCATTTGGCCAATTTCACACAAATTAAAAAAGATGCCAATTTCAAAACAGGGTTCAGAATAAGCAATGTAGACATTCTTGGCACTAAAATAACATATCCTCTGTTCATTAGTCACGTCTCTAGGCCCCCTCTTATATTACTATTGCTTTCTATTTTGATTTTTTATTCATACAAAAAAAAATACAAAATTTACTGTTATGCAGACTACTGCATTATTGTAAAAATGGTATAAATAATATCAGTGCACTAGTGAAAGAATATTAGACTCCCCAGCTGAAGTGTATTGGACGTGTGGTGTGATTTGTTTACTCCTGAACATTGGTAAAAATCAAACATTTCCGCTATTTTGAGCTCAATTTCAAGGTAGTTTTCATTGTGAAAGTAATCAAAATCATCTCTATTTCTGTAATATGTTTTCCATTTTATAACCTGAGACCATGAAAATGAGAATACAATGATAAATACTACACGAAAATACACCTCAAAATCGGCGTTTTAATACAAAAAAAAACGGTTAGTTTTTTTTCTCATTATGCACTACGCGCTGCAGGATTTTTTATGTGGTGCACACTGACCACACAGACCCATTCTCTCACATGTGAGCCTACCAGCTTTCTCCCGCTTGATTTGAAGCCACTAGAGTTTACGTGTATAAATATGTCAGAAACAGTGGTGCGTAAGACATATATATATGACCGAAACAGTCAAAGGGTTAATTGTACATACAGTACATGATGGTTATCCTTATTGTAAGGATATTATGACTGTTGGACATTAAGTAACAATATAACTTACAAGGCTAATGATAGGTTTAAAAACATATCCATTTAAATAAATACCGGCAAAATTATTGGCAATGTGTTACATAAAAGGACACTAACAACTAATGATACATTTATTAAGGCTATTCTTCACTTAACAAATGTTTTATCAAGGTAATACAAAGCAAGGACCCCAATCGAAGTGAGTTACTTTGCTTGACTTTTTTGGGTTATCCTAGGTGATTTACACTAATCAAAAATCAAAATCAAAATGCTTATTTCCTTGTAAAGCTTACAACGTGTAGTTTACATGTTACAAAATATTAATTACAAAGAAGGCCACTAGCATGTACTTATGCATACCTGTGTTTAAATAAACTTCTTACTTACTTAAGGTGTGAATGACATGCACATCAGTATCAAATGCAAGTTACTACTGTACGTAGATGATAGTGCTCTGTTAGTATCTGGTAAAGACCCACAACACATTGCTAATGTCCTATCACTAGAACTAGAGTCCTGCAGCAAGTGGTTGGTAGACAACAAATTAGTATCACTACACCTCGGGAAAACAGAAGCCATACTCTTTGGCACAAAACAAATTGAAAAGGGTAAATAATTTTAACGTCCAATGTGATGGGGAAAACATAATTACAGTAAATTCAGTGAAATACCTGGGAATCCCCTTTGACCCAAGCATGTCAGAACTAATAGGGAACAGTGCAATAAAGAAAGCAAATGCCTGACTAAAGTTCCTCTACAGACAGGTGCAGTGTATACCAATTGAGGCTGGCAGGACCTCATGTCTAGCTCCCATACAATGTATTATAGACTACTCTTACCCTTCATGGTACTCTGCCTTAACAAAAAATAATAACAATATCTTTATTTCTACAAGTATATGTACAAGGTATACAGGCCTAGCTGACATCAATGACATACTACTACTGTACATAGAAAGCCCCATGACATGCAGAGGATTTCAGGCAAATTCAGTTTTGTCCCAGGATGAGACCCACACCAGTCAACTAACACCCAGGTACAGTGGACCCTCGACCAGTGATGGCATCGATTAACGATAAATGTGACTAGCGATACATTTTATCGCAAAAATTTTGCCTCGATTAGCGCTAAAAAACTCGACCAACACTATTCGTTCCCTCTGAGTCCACTTCTGGCCAGTGTTTACAAGCCAGCCAGCCACCGCGGTCGCTTCCAAGCATACAATCGGAACATTTCATATTATCACAGCCTTTTTAGTGATTGCACCTGCAAAATAAGTCACCAAGAAAGCTTCTAGTGCCAACCCTACAGCAAAAAGGGTGAGAATTACTATGGATATGAAGAAAAGAGTCTTGCTAAGTATGAAAGTGGAGTGCGTGTCTCCGAGCTGGCCAGGCTGTACACAAAACCCCAATCAACCATCGCTACTATTGTGGCCAAGAAAATGGCAATCAAGGAAGCTGTTCTTGCCAAAGGTGCAACTATGCTTTCGAAACTGAGATCGCAAGTGATAGAAGATTTTGAGAGACGTTATTGGGAAATGGATAAACGAAAAACAGATAGCAGGAGATAGCATCTCTCAAGTGATCATATGTAAAAAAGGCTAGGAGTTGCATGACGATTTAATTAGAAAAATGCCAGCAACTAGTGGTGATGTGAGTGAACTTAAAGCCAGCAAAGGTTGGTTTGAGAGATTTAAGAATCGTAGTGGCATACATAGTGTGATAAGGCATGGTGAGGCTGCCAGTTTGGACCAAAAAGCAGCTGAAAAATATGTGCAGGAATTCAAGGAGTACATAACAGTGAAGGACTGAAACTGAACAAGTGTTTAATGGTGACACTGACAATGTTGTGAAACACTTTAGGAATGTCATAAAGGAACGGGAGGTACGGGCCCTCTATGGCAGATATGTTGTGCGACAGAGGTCCAATGACTCTCAAGCTGGTCCAAGTGGCATTAAAAGAAGAAGGGAAGTAACCCCGAAAAAGGCTTCCCACCTCAAGTCCTAAGGGAAAGGGGGATTCCCTTCTAAACACTAAGACCATCAACACACTCCCCTCTTCCCATCCCATCAATCATCACCAGATCTTCAATAAAGGAAAAGTGTCATGTAACTGTGCATGTCTTCTTCAGTTTGTGTGTATTAAAATTAATATTTCATGTTTAAAAAAAAATTTTCAATACTTTTGGGTTTTCTTGAACGGATTAATTTGATTTCCATTATTTCTTATGGGGAAAATTAACTTGGCTAACGATTATTTTGACTAACGATGAGCTCTCAGGAACGGATTAATAGCGTTAGTCGAGGGTCCACTGTACTCTTTATTACTGATGGGTAAATATAAACCATTGAAAGGGAAAAATCTCAATGTTTCACCCTCGCCGGACTCAAACTCAGACACTCACGTGTGAAGCGAGAGCTTTTGCCACCAGGCCACGGGCAAGAGAGCATGTAGGCCAGAATGAATTACAACAAATGGATATGCTGAATGTTGAAGACAGAGTAAAACAACTAAAGCTAAATTACGTTTATAAAATTGCTCACAACCAGTGTCCCTAATATCTGACTGCCAATTTTGTTAAGGCTAGAACCAAAGCAATTATAGAATAGGGGAAGGAGAACAACTTTGCAGTACCTAGAGTCAGTGGTCAGGCTTCAAAGACTTTTCTGTACTGCAATAAAAGAGTGGAATAGACTAACAAAAAAGGCACAATACCGTGACGGAACAATAAGCAAATAGCATGCACATAGAAGGAGGAGCTTACCACTATGTTTTGGTCCGACCTGGACTCTCTCCAGGTAAATTCCAGGACCCCTATATCTCTTGTGCTCCTCTCTTCTTTTGTGCAGGTTTTCTGTGT